TGGTCTATATCCAGCAACTATATCCCACCCATTCTATAAAGCAAGGGTCAGCACACCACAGCCCACAGGGCCAAATTTGAACAGCTGCCTCTTGATACAACCACAGATTAAGAATGATTTTTACATTTTTAAAGCACTGAAAACATTCAAATGAATTATGTTTCATGACACATGAACGTTTTATAAAACTCAGATTTCCATACCAATAAATAAAATGTCATTGGTACGCAGCCACATTTACCTACTGTCTAGGGCTGCTTTCACACTACAAGATGGCATTGAGCAGTTGTGAAAGAATCAGTAGGGTCCCAAGGCCTTAAATACTTACTGTCTGGCCCTTTACGAAAACCGTTTGCTTACCCCTGAGGTAGAGAAAATGATCCATAGAACTAAAGGTAACAAACACTCTTAGAAATGTGACTTCAAAAATGAGTGACAAAAGCATGCAAAGAATGGCTATAAAATGCATCTGAAAGAATTTAACCTAATGGCAGTTGCCTGAGGCGGAACTTTCTCAATTTCACCTGAAGGTTTCATTTTTCTGGCTCTGCCTCCCAGTGAGGAAGACCTAAGTCAACCTTGTGACAGGGATTTATCATGTCTTAACTTGAACAATACTGTGTTTCCACCAGCATTCTCAGAATGGAGGCCACACAGTGTCTCAGCTCCTGCATTCACTGGCTCAACTTGGTTTCTGAACAATACAGATTTAGTTCCAGGCACGGTTTCAAGCTGTTTTTGATGATTTCCCACTATATTGTCTTCTCTAAATATTTTCTGGTTCAAGTGCATAAGCTCAATAATGAAAATGAATTCTTACAAACAGCCTGATCTGGGCGGATAGTTAACTCACACCATGAAGCTGAAATTTTCCAGTACAGGGAAAGATATTTCTTTTTCCTTTCCGTCTTCAGGCTACAAGGTTGAAAGCCAGAGGCTATGTGTTATGAAATGTCCCTACTTTTTCCCATGTTTTCTAGCATACATATGTTGATCTCTTTCTTTGCCATTTACGTGTGTGTGGTCATCCCCAATTAGTGGGTCATTTTGTACTTTTCAAAGATAAATTCTAAATCAAAACTTAGGGCATACACCTAAGTCAAAGATGGCCTCCAACTTGAAGGAAAAAATTATTACATTTCAATGAAAATCTACACATCATCTACAACACACTCTTTCCAGCTGTCTGCCTGTAGCCTTGTACAACATCTTTGAGCTATTTTGCACCTTTTTGTAAGTTGTAGGTAACTGATAGATACATATAAATTCTGTCTTACAGGTTGTGATTTTAATTGACTTCTTACTGTGGAAAAAATAGTTTTATCTTGATTTGCAACTCATCTTAACACTCTTTTTTCAATATAAATTTGTACTGTTTTGACTTTCCCTTTGAGCCAGTTATAACATCTGCCTGGTTCTCTCAAGTCATTTTAAGTAAAATAAAATCTTTAGCATGTGTTCATTTTTATACCTATATGAGTCATAACTTTACATTTTACTTAAAATTATCTTTTAATGACCCAAAAGCTTGGTAAGAATTCAGATTTATTTCAAAAGGTATCTTTAAAAACTTCACATTTTGAGTGATATTCACCTTTAATATGAATTTAGTTGTAAGTAATATTAGTTTAAATCACATAGAAAAATAAAATGTGATGAGAAATGAACTTCTTTGTTCCCTTTTATTGCTTTTAAAATGATACAAGAAAAAAACCATGCAGAGGGGTAAGAAACAGATGTTAAAGAAAAATTATTCTGACATTTGTTAAAATGGTAAGGAAGACTTTATTAAAGACTATTGCAATAGCAGTGTTACAACAGGGGAGAGAGATCAGGTTCAACTCCAAATACAACAAAGATAGATAGCCAGGAATTTATAGCCAGTGTTAGAGCAGATAAGGGGTTCAATGGGTAGAAAACCACTAAGAGGAGTAAGGAAATTCTTGCTAAATTAATTCCTATAGGATTCTTTGCTGAAGGTAGGTCAAGTTCTCAGACATCTAGGGTGGGGTAAGAAACTTGATTACACATCCTTGTGATCAGCTATCACTTAACAAGATTATTGCTAACGCCAGGCTAGAAGGATCAAATACAGGAATGAGGTCTGGGGCCAAGGTCTCCAGTTGGGAAGAGGGCTCAGAGAAGTCTAATTAAAGTTTGGGCAAGGAGAAAGTCTTCCTCATAGGTAATAGTGATTTATCAAAGGACAAACAATTCAATTCAACAGTTCTTGTCCTCAGGGAATTTACAATGTAGTGGAAAGAGATAATTAAGTCACCACAACTTGGTCAAACTACCTTGGTTTTACTTTGCAATTAAATTTTATTCCCATATTAATCCATATGTAAATAATCTCTTTAAAGAAAAAAAAAGTGACAAGTTAAAATTATTTCCATCTCTCTATAATCTTTTTTTAACATTTAAGTTTAGGGGTACATATGCAGGTTTGTTACACAGGTAAACATGTGTCATGAGGGGCTGTCATACAGATTATTTCATCACCCACATATTAAGCTGGGTACTCCTTAGTTATTTTTCGTGATCCTCTCCCTCCTCCTGCCTTCCACCCTCCATTAGGCTCCAGTGTGTGTTGTTCCTCTCTATGTGTTCATGTGTTCTCATCATTTTGTTTCCACTTATAAATAAGAATATGTAGTATTTGGTTTTCTGTTCCTGTGTTAGTTTGCTAAAGATAATGGCCTCCGTCTCCATCTATGTTTCTGCAAAGGACATGATCTCGTTTTTTTTTTTTTTGGCTGCTTAGTTTTTCATGGTGCATACATACCACATTTTCTTTATCCAATGTATCACTGCTGGGCATTTAGGTCGATTCCACATATTTGCTATTGTGAATAGTGTTGCAATGAACATACACATGCATGTGTGTTTATAATACAATGATTTATACTCTTTCAGGTATATAGCCCAAATTTTAAAATCCCACTGGTATTACATACCCAAACAATACCAATGGGATTATTAGATTGCTGGGTCAAATGGTATTTCTGTCTTTAAGCCTTTGAGGAATCACCGCACTATCATCCACAATGGTTGAACTATTTACACTCCCACCAAAGATGCTTAAGTGTTCTTTTTTCTCCACAACCTCACTAGCATCTGTTATATTTTGTTAATAGTAGCCATTCTGACTGGTGTGAGATGGTATCTCATTGTGGTTTTGATTTGCATTTCTCTAATGATCAGTGATGTTGAGCTTTTTTTCCACATGATTGTTGGCTGTATGTATGTCTTCTTTTGAAAAGTGTCTATTCCAGTCCTTTGCCCACTTTTTTATGGGGTTCATTTTTTTCTTGTAAATTTGTCAAGTTCCTCATAAATAGATGCTGGATACTAGACCTCTGTCAAATACATGGTTTGCAAAAATGTTCTCCCATTCTGTTGGTTGTCTGTTTAGTCTGCTGATAGTTTCTTTTGCGATGCAGAAGCTCTTTTGTTATCTCATAATCTAATAGACTAAAATATTAATTTAAAAATATACCAACTAAAGTGCATTATACACCTAAATCAAGGATTTTATAAAATATACTGAAACAGAAACTAAGCATATATTACTTATTCCACTTTCATATATGCAAAAGATACCACTATTGGCCACCAAACTCACCACTCTCAATCTGTAAAATAGGATGATTGGGCTGGGCACAGTGGCTCATGCTTGTAATCCCAGCACTTTGGGAGGCCAAGGTGGGTGGATCATGAGGTCAAGAGTTTGAGACCAGCCTGGCCAAAATGGTGGAATTCCATCTCTAATAAAAATACAAAAATTAGCCAGGCACAGAGGCAAGTACCTGTAATACAAGCTACTGGGGAGGCTGAGGCAGGAGAATCACTTGAACCCAGGAGGCGGAGGTTGCAGTGAGCCAAGATGGAGCCACTGTACTCTAATCTGGGCAACAGAGCAAGACTCCTTTTTAGAAAAAGCAAAAAAAAAAAACAAAACAGAATGATTACGGGTATTTGTGAAATCTGAACACTACCACTCACTACATTAAAATAAAATGGCAACAAATTTCCATAAGTCTTCTTACTCAAAGTATGTTGGCCCAACCCAGCAATCTGGGGATCACCTGGCACTTGTTAGAAATGCAGACTTTCAGACCCCACCTTCTGAATCTACATTGTCCCAAGATCCCCAGAAAATTCTTATGCACATGAAAGTTTGAAAATCATAGATCCAGAGTGTGTGAAAACATAACTACCCTGGGTAAGCATAGTCCTTCATTCATCTCTTTTTTATGAAACTAAATATAGTGGTTTTTCTGAGAGAGATGGGCAGGGAGGGGGGAAGAAATTTTGCTGTGACCAAAATTGCTGCATTTTTTGCCTAGGGGTGAACCTGAAGTTTCATGTCAATCATTTTGTTTTGTGAGTACAATCAAAGTCATGGGGAAAAAGGAGAGGCTGTAGAAATAGGAAAATTGCAAATAATACACATAATTTTGTCATTGAAAGAGAGAAAACAATCTCAGTTATATATTAGTATATGTACTTACTACAGTTATGGTTGAATAAACTATAATACAACTACACAAGAGCATATAATAAAGACATCAAAAATAACAAGGTCATTTTTCATGTACCAAGATGCAATGATCTCTAATGTAAACTTAGCTTAAAATATGCAAGGGGGAAAATGCAAGGGCAGCACAGCATATATGAAGACTATTATTCATGTAAGGAAAAGTACGTAAGTGTATATAGGCATAGAACATCTCTGGAATGACACACAAGAAACACACACAATGGTTACTGCCCAGAGTGGAGCTGAGGCACGAGGGACAAAAGTGGAGGGAGACTGACTTTCCACTGTACATCTTCAACACCTTTTGAATTATGTGATAGTAGTATCCAATGAAAACAATATTTTAATCTAAGCATTGAAGAATTTCTAAAAAGCAAATAAAATACAGTTACCAAGATAATAAAGGAAACACTTTCTATGACAGTTTCAGGTCTGAGAAGTTGTATCTAAAACTCACTGACACTGGAGCTCCAATCCATGTTCCTAGAATGCTCCTAACTGCCCCATACGACCCCGAGAGCCCCCACTGATGCCAGTTCTCTCTGCAATACAAATTAAGCCTCTTCCTCTCCCAGCTGTGAACACATTTTGCAGAAGGCTATTGTGGTTTTCCTTAGGCAGGGGTCAGAACGGCCGGCAGGGGTCAGAACGGCCGGCAGGGGTCAGAACGGCCGGCAGGGGTCAGAACGGCCAGCAGGGGCAGGCAGGTATCATAAACGAGTAAAGCAGGCCTAGTCAAGATAAAGCAAGCCTTCACTCTTCCACCTGCAAGGAAGCAGTGCAGCTACTATTCTGCTCCAAGAAAATACTACCAGGGAGGAGACAGGGCCAGATGTTGCCATGTCTCCCCAGGAATGTCACAAGCTGATAAATTTATTTTAAATACCTCGATTTTAAAATGTTCATATTTTAAATTAATTTTTTTAAAACACTATGCAGACCAAATAAAATACATGTGCAGCTAGTTGTAACCTACAAGTTCACAATCCATCCTGTCATCTTTCCTGTATGGAACCATGAAAATTTCTCTTTTTGTTGCTTTCTCATTGGAACTTCTGAAAAGGAAAAAAAAAAATCTCTTTTTAAAAAATTCAAGCAGCTATATTTTGGAGAATTGACAATTTACTAATTTATCACTCCAAAAGTGCTGGATAATTTATTTTCCAGTAATTGTGCTTGCCTAGGGACTAAAAATAATGTATTGTGTATGTTGTTTCTAAAGACTGTGGTATTTATTATTGTTAGAATGCCTTTGATGTCTTTGGTGGTATGAACTGTAAGGTATCTCTGGCGGATAGCATTTCACTCTATTTCACAGAATGTACGTATACAGTCCATCAAACCTCTGGGGTTTATTTGCAAAACATAGCTCTTATTTTCCAACAAGCTTTCAGTGGAAGAAAGTTTCATAGAAAAAAATACAAATTTCCTACCACTCTACTTTGTGAGAACCTAAAGAGACTGTTAAGCTATAAAAAAGAAAATTGAAGGATAAATTTAACACTTAAAAGTGACTCTTTTAGCAGGAGGTTTGGGCACCAAGCCAGGTTAAGGAGAAGTAGCTCTATACACATATCTTAACAGCAGTTTATCCAATCTTCACTACACTTTGCTTAAAGCCCAGGACCTACTGAGTCCTCCCAGCCAGCACGTCTCTTCTAACTCGTCCTCCTATTTGTTATCACTCTGTGCCTTCTGCAGTGCTCTGGACTTTTAATGTGAGATTGCTTTACTTAAGTGAACTGCAATGGAGAAAAGAACTCTTTTGATTGAATCTTGACCTGCAGTAATTGGGAACTTATGTAAAAACCCCATGATACTCACATTAAGGTTGGTGGGAGTGTGGGAGGATCCCACTACTAAAGGCTGGGTGCAGAAGAGGGATAATGGAAACTGCAGGTGCTAGAAAGGTACCAACATGCATCCTCCCCCTACAGTACATGGACTTAGTTTTACATAAGGCTATGCTTTCAATTCTGCTTAAGTAACATAAAAACAAATTAGGAAACTCAAGATCTTGTGCTACATATAAAATCTCCATCCACTGCTTACGGTCTAACTCTAAAGTAAACACAACAACAGACAATTCTTATGGAATCTCAAAACCAAGAACCACCATGATAAAACAATTATACTGCAATGCTGAGGGAAGAGACATTTAATTACAGATATAATTTATGTGAATAAGTATAATCATTTTAAATTTCTAAATAAATAGGCATATCATTAAATATGAAACATCAGAAAGGGATTTCAGAATCTGTATGGTCCATCTGCATTGGCAAATTTGATCTATTCAGAATTTACTCTGGGCGTGGGGGAGCTAATGATTCCATTTTTATACTCCAACTGTTGGTTAACTTCCAAATGAAAATGCCTGATTCAGCATATGTTTTCTGTAAGAAAGGTATTTTTCACATGCTATAGCCATGCCAAACTGTGTCTTCAGTTGTTGTTAAGACACTGGTATATCTTTAAATCTTTTCCACATATTAATTTCAGCAGATAATATGTGCACATTTCTCAGGCTATTCCGATATTTCAAATGCCTTGAAAATGTTGTATCTATGTAAATTAAATGGCCAATTAAGATGTCACCATGCAATTCTGTGCAATACATACTTGCAATGGGATGCTTGTGATGGTACCATTAGCCAAACTGGCCTATATACAGATCACCCCTTCTAGAACTTTAGAGATGGGAGTCAGTCAGCTGGGTTCCAGTCATGGTGAAGGGCATGGAATGATCTCGAGGAAACCACAAAAGCACATCTTCCTAGATTTACAATTCCTCATCCGTTAAATGAAAAGAAGACCTGGATCCCAGCAGGACTTCTGTGAAACCCTCACAAAAGGTTCAGAAAAGGATAGAGAACATGACAAAAGGTAAGTTTACATGCTTTTGTGTATGTTATTGTGGCAGGAGGGGAAGAAAAGCAGTACTGCATATAAATACCTCAGAGTCTGTCAAACTAAACACACATTTAAAAAACAAGAACAAAAAAAAACCAACAAAATTAAGAAACCAAAAATAATTAACAACAGTTCAAGTAATTTAAACCTGGATTCTCTCTTGAAGAAATACCAGATGGGTAAAATATACTCCCAAGCCACCAGAAACTCTCCTAAAATCCCTTTGTCCATCTCTGCCACTTTCAACATGCATCTTCCACCCAGATGCCAGCTTGACTGCCTCTGCCATCAAAGTCACCAAACTGAGCTCAAGGAAAATCTTCATTAAAGAGTGAACACATGACATATGCTATCAACTCAGCTTGACTTTACAACATAGGTGCTATGGTTTGAATGATGGTGTCCCTTCCAAAATTAAATTTAATTAATTAATTAGTAATTTATTAAATTGTTGAAACTTAAACCCCAATGCAACAGTATTGGGAGGTGTGGCCCTTGGGAAGTGATTAAGTCAAGAGGGCAAGGCTCTCATGACTAAGATTAGCACCCTTATAAAAGGGCTGAGGTCAAAGGAGCACATCTGTCCCTTCTGCCATGTAAGGATATGGTGTACTTCCCTCTAGAGGGTGCAGCAACAAAGCACCATCTTGGAATCAGAGAGCAGCCCTCAACAGACACCAATCCTACTGGTGCCTTGATCTTGGACTTCTCAGCCTCCGGAACAGTGACAGATGTCTACAGTTTACAAATTACCAAGTCTGTGGTATTTTGCTATAACAGCCCAAATGGACTAAGACAACAGGTAACTAATCTAAGTTCCCAAACTAGTGGACTTTTGACATGTACTGGAAGTAGACAGATAAAGCAGTAGCCAAGATCCTTTCTCATCTTCGCATAAGCAAATCATAGTTGACAAACATTAGTATCTCAGAGCATTCAACAAAGTGACTGGCAGTAAGTAAATACATAAGTGATGAACACACAGAATCGAAAGGCTAACCTGGGTTTCGGGTTTCTCTGGGTTATGGGGCATTCCATGGCCAAGGACTAAAACTCTTCTTTGAATAACTATCTCTAGAGTTTGAGCCATCGAGGCTCTTGGTGTCAAAGACAATTGATATACTTGGATCCATCAAATAACATATCAGCAATTCATGCCCCACTGATGGTAAGAAAGTGCTGCAATCGTTTTATTCCAAAGAGAGCATAAAGATTTACATCAGATGTCAAGGCTAGATGTTGCTCTGCCACCAGAAAGCTTGCTGTGTGAGACATACAAAAAATTAAACACCTCAGGAAATACAGCTTTCTGGAAAACATAGATACCTCTTCTTTTTATCGTTACATTTTTCTAATGAATCTTTCACTGCAATAACTTATGCAGAGAAGTTATGTATCCTGGAATTATTCTACTTTTTGGTAACTATTTTTAAAGCTTTATGCTTTATAAAGCTTTTCTATTTTCCCGATTTGCTTTAAAATCTGCAATATCCACCTTGAGGTTAACTTGAAACTCCATTTCACAGCTAATTCCAACTAAATGTCTTCTCCAGCTTCCTAGATGTCATCTAACCGGTTATATTGTCACTGATTCAGCAGCATATTCAAAGAGACAGAGAATAATTGACATGATGCTGATGAAGTTTAAAATTCAGGGTCCCTGTTGCATGTCCCCTCAGAGTGCCAAGAGTCCTTGGGAATCCATGTTATAGCTGGGAAGCGACATGAAGAGACATCTCTCTGTAAGCATCTGTGGCAAAGAAATCTCAAAAGAAAGGGCACCAAATCATTTAACTGAATCATTTTGAAATAAATACTCATCTTTGCATCAATTTTTATTCATAATCTTTTGCTCTTTTTTCTTAAAGAGGACCTCCCAAATTGAATGAGCTTCCAACTCCACTAAACCTGAGTCTGCGTGATACAAGTGAAGGCATGTAAAAGTGTTTCTTAGTGTGTACTCTCCACCATGCAAGTTTTCAATCTATTAAAAAAAAACAAACCTCATCTTTAAAAATAAAAAATAAAGGTTGGGGATGGGATAATAAAAAGTTACTTTAAATGTACATATTTAAGAATGCTGATTTCATGATGTATTTTCCAATACCAAAATATAAACTAAAATAAAATCTGCAGAACTTCTGGCTCTTTGACATTTCTCCCCAGTGACTTAAAACTTTCAGATGAATGGGACATCTGGGTCTGAGAACTGTGTATTATTACTGCTCTCCACAATAGCAGGCCTACGTGGATTTTTCATGTTAAGACTAGTAAACATAAAAAGCAAACCTATCTCACATGACTGATACGTTTGCCTTTAACAAAACAACCCTGGTCAAAAATTATTAGAAAACAGATCAGCAGCCCCACTGGACTCTGAAGCAATGTAATTAGGTAGTCCAACACTACATTTTATCAAAAAATTCTGACAGCCTAATAACCCGATTGTCATCAGATAGATATTGAAAAATGATACTGGGTTTGCTCCAGCATTAAAATACCACCACTTTGCGGGGGTTTTTGTTGTTGTTGTGCTGTAAAAATAAAAATAAAAAATCTATCAGTGATGCATCCCATTGCTCTGGATAGCGTTTCCGTGAGTCTGCGCCACTTGAAGGATGGCAGAGGAAGTTTGGTTTTGACTTAAAGTTTAAGAAAGAATTCTTCTTAGGATCACCTGCTTGATGTAATCATGAAATCCCTATGGATTAAGAGGGGTAATTATAAAAGAGAATGCTAATAACAACACTAACTGGCATTTATTGAGTGTTCAGATTGTATCAGAAACTGGGTTCCATTCTCTGTGTTATTGGACTCCCAATAACCTTTGGTGAGAGGTGCTACTGTTAACCTCATTTTCAGAGGTGGAAAGGAAGCTTTTCAAGGCTAACGAATCCACCTACACACCCAACAGATCCCACCTCATGTTCTTAACCTCTGCAACGTGTTGCTGGGAAGATGATCAATTTGGTTTTGATGGGATGGGATGGTGGGCATTGGGGGTTAAGAGGTGTTCTTTTCGAGGAAACCATTAAAAACCATTACATATGTGGCCTCCCAGAAGATGGTAATCTAGTATATAGTCTGGCCGGTAAGCCAAATTTTATGTATATTGTGACACTGAAAGAAAAAAAAATATTGTAATTATAGATTATTCACATAGTTAATGCAATTAAATAGAAAAAGGTAGAAACATTAAGATATAGCCTTAGGTTCAAAAATACTCTAGCCTCCATTTAATTAGTCAATTATAAAAAATTATCCACTAACCTGTACAAGAATAAACCTCAGGGAGTACATTTCTAAGATGACCTTTGGAACCCTGATATCTGAAAATCTTACCATTTTATCTATTAGGATATAAATGAGTTACCTGGAATAAATCACTGTCAAATTTGCACATACAAATGGTGTGGCTGAACGAGTCAGTAATAACTAAATGAAACCAATTTTTTCCCCAAACACATGAAAACACCCCAGACTACTGAGATTCTCAGTCAGCCATGCATGGCTATATTTGCAAGGCACTACAAAGTATCCAAAGTAGTATTTTTCCAACCTGTGATTTCATTTGATGTCCATGAGCCTATATCATCTTTTGTTTTTGTTTTTTTGAGATGGAGTCTCACTCTCTCACCCAGGCTGGAGTGCAGTGGTGCAGTCTTGGCTCACTGCAGCCTCCGCCTCCCAATTCAAGCAATTCTCCTGCCTCAGCCTCTCAAGTAGCTAGGACCACAGGCATGCACCACCACACCTAGCTAATTTTTGTATTTTGAGTAGAGACTGGGTTTCACCATGTTGGCCAGTATTGTCTTGATCTCCTGAACTTGGGATCCACTGGCCTCAGCCTCCCAAAGTGCTGGGATTATAGGCATGAACCACTGCATCTGATCAAGCCTACATTATTTCTTAAAATTAAACACAAAAAGATCATTCCGAATTTCACAAACAATGTTTAGAAAAATATACCACACACAAAGGAGCCCATACTGTATGATTCTATTTATTATTTAAAATTAGTTCAGGCACAGTGGCTCACATCTGTAATCCCAACACTTTGGTGGTGGAGGTGGGGGGTGAGAGGATTGCTTGAGGGCAGGGGTTCAAGAACAGCCTGGGCAACATAATGAGACTCTGTCTTTTAAATAAAAAAAATTAGCCAGGTGTGATTGTACATACCTGTAGCCCTAGCTACTTGGGAGGCTAAGATGGGAGGATCTCCTGAGCCCAAAAAGTCAAGGCTGCTGTGAGCTATAATTGTGCCACTGCACTCCAGTCTGGGTGACAGAGTAAGACCCTATCTCAAAAAAAAACACACACACACAAAATAAAACAAAAAAACCACACACACACACACAAATTCGAAAACATGATAAATCCAATCTCAGGTGAGTCAAGATAATGACAACCTCAGTGGAAGCATGGTAGTGAGTGGAAAATGGCATGAGAGGCTCATGTTCTTTCTACCTCTTCTTCAAGATGCTGGTTTCTTGAACATGGTGACTTTGGGAAAATTCATTAAGATGTACAACTTGGATTTACAAGTATACAAATCCTATAGCATGCCATGCTTCTACAAAAGATTGACATAAAACAACCATTCTCTCCCTTTCCTAGTTTGCTACCTAGACAAAGGAGAAAAGATACATTGAGAAAGAGGGTTGGGCAGTCTAAAAACCCTGAGAAGTTTGACTTTACAAACTACTGAGCCACCGACAGTCTTGTTAGAACCTCTTAGCATGCCTTTCCCTCACAGCATCAATTTATATAGCAATTCACTACATTAATTCCTGTAATGAAAGTGTGGGGAAATTTGTAGTCAATCATAATTGTGCCCTGCAAATACCAGAAAATGTTTGCTGGGATGTAAGCCTCTGATGGCTGGCTCAGCAAGTGATTTAAAGTGGCGTGGTGAACTTTCATAATAACAGCTCATTAACAATTACGTTTAAAATGTAAACACTTGATATGTTTTTAGAAACACCAGTACTGATTAGGTTAATTTCACTTTACAGGAAGTCTGAAGATAATATGCTAAACAGAGTTTCCTTTTTTCCCTCTCAACAATGTATTAAATAATAGTAGGTTAGACCTAGTTTTGTTTTCAGTTTCCATACATGAGAAATGTGAAGGCCATGGGGGTTCCAACTCAGTTTCTTTTCTCTAGTTTTCATGTTTAGGAAGCACAGACTTGAAATGTATTTAGCGTGTCTTCCAAGACTAAATACTGAAGTTATGTTTGTACAGCTGTCTAAGTAAAACTGATTCTACTTCAAAAAATAAGTTGATTCAGTCCCAAAACAGTACCAAGCAAAGTATTAATTAATTCAATTGTCCTGTTTTTATTTAAAGCTAGACAAGAACCATAGGGCAGGGACCTTATCAGTGATGTTAACAGCCATATATATATATGCCCAGCACCTAGCTGACTTACAGAAAGAGCATGGGAACTGCTTACTCAGTGATTTGCTTTACCAGTCAACCTTGATATGGAGTGGGGGACAGTTAATGATAGTTATCATTTTAGGACTGAGTTCCTTTAAATTATCAATCTAATATTTTTATTAAATATATGCATTTCAAGTAAAGTTATCTCCATTATTTTTTCTACTGAAAAATAAAGACAAGGAATTCAAATGTTTGGATTATTTTCCCTCACTCATACCAAATAGAAGGAAAGTAAACATTCTAAAGCTAAAGTAATATTCCTAGTTTGACAAATCACATCTTGGGGACACAGAAGCCTAAATTATCTGAAGCCAATTAATTGTCCTTTGTCAATGGAAAGAAGAATTTAGCTCCAAAACTGGATGAAATCCCAACCAAGTAATGAATGACCAACAATGGCAATAATAACATTATTTTTTTCTTGTCTCTTGATTATCAACAAAAAAGAGACTATAGCAAATAAATATACAAATATATACTGTGAAAACACCAATATTTGTACCTACAAGAAGGATGAGAAATTAACTTTGTATAGTAATACCCCTCCACTGTATTTAGGAAAAGACAATACAACAGACCTTTAAGAATGGATGATCCTTCTGGTATTTGAAGGAAGCACCGAAACAAATATATTGTGGAACTAGTGGGGAAAAAAAAATCATCCAGAATCACAGAGCTGAAGGGAGCCCAGGAGGTCACCTGGCCTGTCATGTGCAGATTATCAACAAGTTTCATTTAATTCCAGCATCGCCGGGTCTTCTTATATTCCCTGGGTTCCCACTCAGGGCTCTGCCTAAAGACAGACCAAATGACCAACAAAATCTACCAAGTAGTCCAAGTCATCTAATGCTAGCAAGCCCCAAAATCTTGCCGTATTAGGCCCACTTATAATTGCAGTAACTTGTCTCTTTCCTAGCCTAATTACTATTTTCAGAGACAAATCTCTTTGTTTTGACAATTTTCCTATCCGTTAGATAAATGGTTCAGGAATAGATTCCAGTGCTATTTTCACACATGAAATAAAATATTCTATTTATTCTCTTACATTTCTGTTCTATAAGTGTATGGTTAGACGGATGTTACTATTCTTTCTGGCTACTGGAGATACCAAGTCTGGTTTATATACTCTAACCAATATTAGTCCATGCCCACATAAGCATTTAATGAGAAAGGATCCTGGGGCTACAGGCTTCATAGTTACATGACACTGGATGCTGTGAAGGGGGAATCGCTTTCTCTGAAGTGTAACCATTAACTGAAAAAGAATAGCCTGGTGTGGCATGAGTCATGGGTAACATGTGTGAATCACAGTCCAGATGGGTAGGTGGCCATCTCTGAACAGGATTTCAGAGGTGCTCTCTCTACCTTCATCAACTAGATTCTCCTCCTGGGAAACAAAACATTGTATTCCACAGTTAAAGTGTGAAATGCATACATAACCAGAAAAAAAAGACACAATTGTTCCAAAAGTTCAGTTATTTACACATTCCTATCATGATTTGTTTAATATCTATGAGCCAACATTCTATATACATTTCTCTTTAAATTAACTCAATCCTGCCAGTCTAAATTAATTTTTTAAAGGAGAAAATTTTACAGCTCCACGGTAAACATCCAATGTCACTGGTATACATATTGTATATAGCCAGTATCACTTGCCATAAATAGAAGAAAACTGAAAAGATTTCATTTGACTAACCAAAAATGTATTCATTCATCTCATCTTGTGTACCACATGAAATACTGTAACAAATTGGTTTAAATTCATACTAGAGAGTAAATGAATGATAGAATTCTCAACACCCCTCCATCTTGTCCTATTAATGACATTAAAGGTTGAGGAACCACCAAAAGAGGTAGGCAGGACACCAAGACCTGAAGGAGCATGTATTCGGGATAGAGGGTACAGGCGGTGGGACTGGATATCACAAGCTATGAGAAGTAAGGGTACAAAAGATCAGACAGTGGCCTACTTCATGATTATTTATATCTGGGACTGTCCCTGAATGTGTCATAGAGGAAGTCTTCAGTACTGCTTGATTTGAAGGTCCTTCTACTTCTATGCACCGTCTCTTTTAGACATCCATCTCTGAGCTCACAAATTATCCATCAAAAAGAAATCACATGCCGTTAATAGGTCTCTTCACTGTGGCTGACAGTGCAGAACAAATGCCAGTCCCTGTGCTGAGATACAGATTTCTGGAACACTAACTGGGATTCCCAATCGGGGGAGACGCAGTACCTAGAGGTCACTCCAAGTACTACTAGAACACGCTCCTGAATTATGTTGCTTTTTGCCATACTTGTCACAAAGTGCCGTTATGTTCTAGCTCTCTCTGGATATCTTTCTCTCCAATCAGATTCTCAATTCTCTCATCATCTTTTTATTGCTCTTAACACCTAGCTCTGAGCAAAACAAGTGCCCAGTTTATAGAAGCAGCAAGTGAATCTGAATGAATCAACCACAAGTAAATGAACAAATGAATGAATGAATGAATGAAAACGTATCACCTTTGCAGAAAGAAGCACTTGCACGTCTAAGGTATATCCCCAAATTATCCCAACCTCATCCGAAGTTACCAGGGAATACAACACAAACCCATCAGCATCCCACTACCTTTTCAGAGAAATGACAGGTTCTCCCCTTGCCTGGGCAAAAGATTTGTCACACTCTCTCTCTTAAAGTGCCTCCTTGTTGCAAGCTGTGCAATCTTGGTCAACTTACCTAACCTCTCTGAACGTCTTTCCCTTACTTGTTAAATACTGAAGAACAATATCTGCACCATGAATTGTGATAAAGATTAAATGAGAGATTCAAGAAGAGTGACTAATTCTGCATTGCCTGTAGTGTATCAAAAGCCAAAAAGCCAGCTACATTTTTGGATCAGATCACAATGCCATGATAAACATCAGTGGAATAATGGTCCACAATGTCACACCACATACTTTCATTCTGCTGTCCTCCTCATAACTTCCCTGTTTGCCAGGATCAGGGTTTTTCATGTTTACAAAGAAAATGGAGCAGGTTAGCAGGTCTCAGTGGCATTAACGGGCAAAGCATCATGGGCAACTGTTGTTCATAAATGCACCTTATCAAATGTGTCCTGGGTTGATGATGACCACTTTTTTTCATTCCCATTTTTACTTCTTTCTCAGTCTGAATCTCCTATACTTGTAAAACTAACAGAGCTTCCCTCATTTCTAAATCAGAAAGATGAGCACCTGCAGCCACAGGAAGGGAAATCTGGGACCTGATGCCTATAATATTTTTCAGACAGAAAATATTCCCCTAGCGCCTCTACCCGGGAGATGGTAAACTACTCTGACATCTCAGCTGTTGCCCCTCCAAGCAGATTCACACACCTCTCGGCTAACGCCCCCTTTGGGCAGGCATCTACTCATGTTTACAGTTATTCATTATGACTGGCTATACACACACAGTGCCTTTGGTGTCAAACTGAATGGCCCCTTAGACCCCCCAGTCCAAGACAGCTGGAAGATACAAACAGACATTAAATAAGACACAGGCAGAAAAATTGCATTGCCTTCCTTGAGATAGAGAGACTGAAGGTTAACTAAAGCTGACTGGCTAGTGAGTCCTCTAGAGCTCCAGTGTGGGATGACTCACAGCAAGGAGCACAGGATCAAAACTTTGAGGTGCTTCAGGGTCAGAAAGTTTTCCAGAACAGCTTCTGTGGATGTCTGTAAACAAATTGCCAGCAAGGAAAAAGATCAACTCTTTTGCAGGGGAATCAACCTGAACCAGAAGGGCCAGCATGCATTCTAAAAGTGCCAGGGCAAGTTCTCGACCCTCTGAGCTAGCGCACATCTATTGTGATTCCACATATCTCTCCATAGAATAATCTGGCCAAGAACACACAAATGGAGAGGTGCCCTTCTCCATCTGCGATCATCTAACTGTAGAGTCATGGGAGAAGGTGAGAGACAATGACCTCAAGAGGTGGACTCTAGACCTCAGAATCCACTCTAATGAACACCCTGTGTTTAAACAAGGGATCTTCCATTTCCTCAAAAGGCAGTTAGACACAGTCACATAATTGGGAATCTAAGGACTCTAGAAAGGGCGGGATATTTTCCCACAGACACAGCTGTATTGAAAAATCAACCCGTGCCTCTAAGAGAAATGAGAAAACACAATTGGTGATTTCCAGCATGGCATCCAATCTTCATTTTGTGATCCCTCAATTCTCAGTTCAAGTATAAATAGACTTTTTTTCCTCCCTGAAGTAGGAAAGGGATTAAGTGGGCAGGACATTTTCTAAGTTCTGTGTAGCATATGTTCATAAGCTTTCCTTTTGTAGCATTTATGGATTCATTCTGGAGCAGGGTTAAGCTGGAGCAAAGCAATTTGGCATGCTTGCAATTTGCTTTATCTGGAGAAGCAAGTACAGAATGCAGAGGCCACCTTGACCTGAACAGCAAAGAAGCTTCCCAGAACCCTGAGGGAGACACCGATTGTTTTCCTTACAGGGATGCTCAAGCTGAGCCATCATCCTTGCAAAATAGTCAACGAGCTTCATTCAAATTATCCTCAGGAAAACAGTGGCCAAGCATACACAAGTGATCATTATCATACAAACTTAATTTCTGACCAAATTCCATGATCACACTGCTCTTCCTGAAGTCAGTGAGGCAGTGTCTATACTGCTACACAAACCTCAGGGTCAGCATTCCGATCTATCCCAGCCTAAGAATCCCATTTGGCAGCAGAGGTGCTCTTCAGCTCTGTGCATCCACCTCGGTACCCTCTATCCACACGACTGAACATAGTGCAGCAGCCGATGAGGATGCAGTAGGAGACTTTTCAATGTTAACAATATAATGTTGAATGGAGAAAGCAGTATGTGCCATTTTCATAAAAAACATGCCTACATAAAGAACTAACTGGGGAAAATAACACAAGGAAATGTCACAGGGAGTCATCTCTGGGCAGCAGGATTATAAGCAATTTCTATTTTCTTCTCTTTTGCTAAACTGGTTTCCAAATAGTCTAAAATGCAAATGCATTACTTTTATAACAGCAATGATTTTAATATATAAACTGTGATTCTCAGAATACAGGAGTTAAAGAAAAAAAAAATAAAGACATAGACTGAACCTTACAAAAAAACATTTTTATCCACAAAACAAAGAAGCATTTCATTAAAACAGTTCACCTGCACCATCAGGAAACAACTACATCATATTTCACATTCAGTTTTGTTATTCCCACCATCACTACTTCTTAAGTACCTGCTGTACACAATGCACTGTAGCGAGTATCAGTACTCAGCTAAATAAGCCAGGTAACCA